TATTGAGAATATCCCATTATTCTTCATGTATGTTGAGTTATCTTTGGACTTGATATGATATTGGTGGATAATGACATCAATTGTATAATTGATCCCCGAAGTATGGGTCCTCAATTGGTTATATACCTCTCAAATGGTATTAACTCTTTACCATTGGTTATTGAAATTTCTTCATATTTATCCTGAAGATAACTTAGTTTGTGTTACACAAATAAATCATATAAATACATTCGATGATATTTTTGAATCAATATCAACTCCCGAAGAGCAACAAATGACGATTTTATGTTAGAAACTTTTACATTGAGGGGGAGCAACATATAATTATGAATGAAACTAAACAGGTTTTCCCTTCAGGGGGAGCGATAAATAAATCTCGAAGATCGAACCCGGAAGGTTAATTATAATCCTGAAGATTAGGCCCTGTTGGCCGGTGTTGTACTCTTTTTCCCTTGACTAAGTTTTTTCCCATTGGGTTTTACTTAGTAAGGTTTTTAACGAGGCAACAAGTGTAACACATAAATTTGCATGTGTCATGTATTCTTTTCCTCGACTATTTTTTTCCCACTGGGTTTTGTAGCGTGGTTTTTAAGGAGGCATGGACATGATGCGGTAATGTCCAAGGGGGAGTGTTGTAAATATTAAGTTGTGGACATTACCTAGATATAAGATTTGTAGGCATGGGCCAGGAGCCCATTAGGTATTTACTCATGTACATTATATTCCCTTATATATAGGGCTCAAGTGAATGAATAAGATGATGGTTTTGACAGCGGATCTCTTCTCTCTTATTCTCTTCTTCTACTGTTTCTATCTTAATCTATTTTACACATAGATTTTACATATTGTCAATCTATATTACAACAAAATTAATTTTAATTTTGAAATGTTGAAAATTTTGAATTTATGTAGCCCGAATTTGAATTTAAATAACTCAAATATTGATGGATACGCAATTTTTTTTTCTATAATCATGCATGCCCCAATTCTCATTGATAAAATTTCCTATTTTATATGTAGTTTCGTTCCAAGGGGTCTATTCGAGCCCAACAAACGAAGCGAAATTCAGTAATAGAGGAGGATTTATCACCAACGAGGTTGGGTTCTCGCCGAAGTAGAGTGATTCAGTAAGATAGAAGAGCAATACCAATTAGACCTTTCATTGATATAGAGAATCGGGCTCGGTATTTGAATTTTCAGTCCAGGTGAGTTAGAAAAAACAGAGCTCTCGGTGTGCCTCCGCGACGTGACAGAGCTCTCGGAAGAGCAATACCAATTAGACCTTTCATTGATGACGTGTTGTGTGGACACATGAGACATGACTCAGGTTACTAGTTTTGTTTTGTCCCTCGTGATAGCCCAATTGACCAAAGCTCTAAGGGCATCCACAATCTTTTAACACAAATATCATTCATTCAATCAAAACGTAACACTCTCTCTCATCCACATCACCTCCACATAATTTTTCCACTAAATCTCTCTCCATTTAAAGTTTAAAAACACACTCACATTTCTACACATTCATTTAAATACATATGTGAGATCCATTATCCACTTATTCAATATACATTTTTATATTTTTTTCTCAATAAAAATAAAATTTAGTATTTCATTAATAAAATTTTTATAGGCAAAGAATGATGATAGAAAATTTAAATTATTGAT